CTCGTAATAACCTCATAGCATCCTACATTTACTCAGTGGAATCACCAATAGAAGTGCACATAATTCCAAAAATGCTTTCATTGTATACTGTATCATTAAAATATATTGCAACAGACACACATTCCATTTAGGTGTGGGCTACTAACAAGGCAAACTCAGTACCTGTATTCCAAGATTTCCATGATTTTGTCACTCCAGCTAAATGAGGTGGGTTAGCTTGTTCATATGTAATTGGTTTGTCTCCTTTGCTGACTTTCACCCGCCCAGCTTTATAACATGATGCACTGGTTTGCAAACATCGATGATCATGTCTCAGAAACGGGTTACTACTCAACCTTAGTTGCAGAATCTGCGATGAACAGAATAGGATAGCTCAGAAAACCTCAAAATTGTTCAGTGGTTTGTAATCAAATTAAGACAATATTATTTTTATGACTCTGATTATTGGGACAATTATTGTCATCAATAAATTAACAGACTAACATAAAAATAAATTACTAAATAAATATGGAAGAGGTTGTAGACAACTACAGGTAAAAAGTCTTGTGTTTACCTGGTATTGAGTATTAACATAATATTTTATATTATTCAAAAAACACCAAAAAATAAACAAGAGACTGTATGCAAGTCTAATGTTATTGCTACAAATAGATAGCAACTTTTATCATGGATGTAGACATGTTATAAATAAAGCAGCCGGGAAAACAAAAATACTGAAGCAGACTGAGAATCTGCTGCCACTAGGTGGCGCTGTATACTGGTGGCTAAAACAGAGAAAACTGAACAGGCAAATCTACATATGTGCAGCAGTTAACCAAATTTATACTGAAAACAAATTTAACACAATGAATCTTACAACAAACTTGTCTACACTTTGGGAACTTTGTCTATGATTATGATAAATAAATAATCCTAATTCTTCAATTGTTTGTCATATTTTATATATTTTATTGCATCTTTCCAAACGAGTGACTCCCTGTATAACTGAGTGATAGGCACTATGCAGGCAGTCACACTTGTCTGCGATAAAATCCCGGGTGAAATCACACTCGTTTGGAAAGATGAAACAAAATATATTCTCATTATTAGTTTAAGTCAACTAAATTATAATGCAATACTATATATGGTGAAACAAATAAAAATAAAACAAGCAGCCTATCGACTGAGATAGCTCCGCTGTTAGCAATGCACATTCCAATTAAAGAACTGAAGACATCATTAGAAAATGAACAATATGTATAGTATCAAAGCAATCGGACTTACAGTTTTTAACAAGAAGTCGAAAATATCACTTTCTACCAAAAATGACAAAAATATTCACCAAAATTAAAGAATTGAAGATATCATCACAAAATGAACAAATCTGAGAGAGGTCCACATGTAGTACCTATATATGTAATATCAAAGCAATCGGACTTACAGTTTTTAACAAGACGACGAAAATATGACTTTTTATCAAAAATGACAAAAATATTCACCAAAATTAGAGAATTGAAGATATCATCACAAAATGAACAAATCTGGGAAAGGTCTACATGTAGTATCTATATATGTAATATCGAAGCAATTGAACTATTGGTTTTTAGCAAGAAGTCGAAAATATCACTTTTTTACCAAAAATTACAAAAATATTCACCAAAATTAGAAAATTGAAGATATCATCACGAAATGAACAAATCTGAGAGAGGTCCACATGTAGTACCTATATATATGTAATATCAAAGCAATCAGACTTACAGTTTTTAACAAGAATACGAACATATGACTTTTTATCAAAAATGACAAAAATATTCACCAAAATTAGAGAATTGAAGATATCATCACGAAATGTGTCGGAGTAATTTCTGAATCATTTATCTGTGAAGCATTGTAATTGAAACATGCAATATTTGTTAATCGCTTTATTCATTACGTTTTATACAAGTTCAATAATACTGTATTCTGACTTATACTTTGTTGCAAAATACGGATTCTGAAGTGAGACGACGACATGAATGCGAACGTGGTAGAAACCACCGCAGGATGTTCTTTTGTTTCAATTTTTATATTCATCCAATTAGAAGTTTTCCCACTAATTTTCTTACACGGTCAAGAGTTTATCGATGTTTATCAAGGGCATACTGCCAATTCTGTATCATTCTTACAATTTGTGTTATATCGTTGATATCCAGTTGTAAGTCTCCGGATTGCCAGCGGGTTTTCCGTTAGTGAATAAATTCTGAGTTTTACATTTAAGTCGTTCTTCTGTGGTGATTGGTGCTGATTGTGTAGCAGATAATTTTGCATACTATATTTCGTTACATTTGATTTCCATATCCGCAACGTATCGTCCCCCACAAAATGAACAAATCTGGGAAAGGTCTACATGTAGTATCTATATATGTAATATCAAAGCAATTGAACTATTGGTTTTTAGCAAGAAGTCGAAAATATAACTTTTTTACCAAAAATTACAAAAATTAGAAAATTGAAGATATCATCACGAAATGAACAAATCTGAGAGAGGTCCACATGTAGTACCTATATATGTAGTATCAAAGCAATTGGACTTGCGGATTTTAACAAGAAGTCGAAAATATCACTTTTTAACAAAATGACAAAAATATTCAACAAAATTAGAGAATTAAAGATATGTTTCAACATGAAATGAACAAACCTAAGAGAGGTCTACCCAAGGTACATATACACCAAGTATCAAAGCATTCGGGCTTGTAGTTTTCAAGAAGAAGTCGAAAAAGTAAAACATTGACACGGACGACGGACGACGACGGACAATCACTCATATGATAAGCTCCGCTCGACAAAGTCGACAGCGGAGCTAAAAATATCTGCGCATAGTGTAGTCTAAGAGATCGAATATCGGAATAACGTATGAGCTGTGTTACACTGTTAACGACTGCACACGATGGCATTGCTAAATTATTGAAGTATACAGTTTATTACCCCGCATTTTCATTATCAATCAGTGTTGTGTAGATGTGACAAAACCCGACGATATCGAAAACTACTAGATTCTCGAACATGGACATATTTGTGTTTTCAGACTTACCCGTTTCGTGATCATCCTTGTGGTCGCCGCCATCTTTTCGTCGCATTGGCTCATGGGTAAAAGGGGACGACCAGTGTGGTATTAAACGCGGTTAGTGAAAAAGAATATACGCAATATATTGCAGATAGATACACTAATACACAAAACTTGACACGATAGCCTATAAAATGCAGTTTCAATGAAAGTACCCCCCGCATTAATAAATGAGTAATCCCTCACCCAAGTCGTCTGTCACTTCCGGATATTACTTCCGGGTTCCTTGAAGTTAAAACTTTTCATCGAAGAAAACGCCAAACAACACGTTGACGGCTATCTTTATCATGTGGAAGTACATCTATCTATTGTTATTGAATCTAGGTGAGTTGAAAAGCCAGACAGATGAAGCATATCTGGCAAAACCAATCGGAAACCAGTTTTCATCTAATATAAAAACTTATCCTATTGTGCTTTGGTGGACTGAGAAGATATTTCCGCATTTTCAAGGTGATACCGATGTCATCAATTGTCCCAAAGGATCGTGTGTGACAACAACCAACAAAAAATTGCTGACAAATCCACGGACCAGAGGAATACTGTTTTACGGAACTGACTTCCGAGCTTATGAAGCACCACTTCCCAGGATGCCTCAGCACGAATGGGCTTTGTTCCATGAGGAATCTCCAATGAATAATTACATCCTATCCCATAATACTATGATTAGGATGTTCAATCACACTGCCACGTTTCGTCGGGAATCAGATTTTCCGCTGACTTCTCATCCGATACCGTCCTTACAATATTTAACGCAGAGGAAAAGTGTACCCCTACAAGAAAAAAATGTGTTGCGACAAGACGGGGCCTATGCTGCTGTGTTGTATGTGCAGTCTCATTGTGGAATCGCTTCAGACAGGGATCGCTATATAACAGAATTGATGAAATACATTCCCATTGATTCGTATGGGAAATGCTTAAATAACAAAGACCTTCCAGCTGATTTACAAGATACCATGACGATGGACCATCCTGATTTTTTAAAACTCATCTCTGGATATAAGTTTCATCTTGCATTCGAGAATGCGATTTGCGATGATTATATGACAGAAAAACTCTTCCGAACTCTGCACGTTGGCTCTGTACCCATATATCGTGGATCAGCAAAAGCTCGAGACTGGATGCCAAGTAACAAATCGATTATAATGGTGGATGATTTCAAAACCCCAGAAAAACTTGCAAATTATATTAAAATGTTAGATGAAAATGATGAACTATATTCGGAATATTTACAATATAAAGATGACGGCATCAATAATGAGTTTTTAATTAATCACATATCAAAACGAACATGGGGAATTAACGTTGTTGGTAAAGATGACTTCATAACTGGATTTGAATGCTATGTATGTGATCGTGTAATTGAGAGAATCAACAACCAAACGCTTCCACCTCGAATTGCAAGTTACGCGCACATGGGTTGTCCAGAACCAGATGTATCGTATGGCAGTAGAGATGACGTTCCAATGTCAGATGAGTAAGTCATCAGAATTTATCACATCATGCACAAACAATGTGATAAACACATGTGATATTTTCGATATCACGTCCCCAATATCACACACTTTATCAGCAATTTCATCGGCCCTTGTACACAATTTGAGAATGTGACTTCACCGACTGACAATCTTCTAGGCCAAAACATGGCTCGTTTGCAGACTAAAAAATATATTTTGGTAAATTAAATGTTTCTGTTATATACCGATAATTTTTGACAACTGTGGTCATCGCTGTTACTAATTCTCCAAATCCCAAATTGGCAATGCACTGCATTCGTTTCTCAAATTGCAACATTTGCCAATTTCTCATGAAATGTGTAAAACCACTGATAGAATTACTGCATGAAAGGTTGCCATATTCATACATGTATTGCAGCTTGTTTAATTAATTATGCACAATTTATCAGAGACAATAAATGAAAAAACTAAATTTTTTTTTCTCACACATTTATTGAAATGTTGCATACTATGAAATCTAAAGCACATGGGAAGTCAAATACTCTGTTCATTGGTCAGTTTATCTTATTAGCGATGAAAATATATTCAAAAATGTATTAAATACTATGGGCTGTAAATCTAAACCAAGTAAAATACTTTCTGTTCATTGGTCATTTTATACCAAAGACTTACCTTTCACAAAACAATCATGTGTAATTTGTTGGTAAATATTTTTTTTGTTTTTTTGTAACTTTCCCTGCAGAATATATTGTTTTCAAAAAATTCACTGAGCAGATTAGTTTTCAAATTCCACCATCTCCCTTCACACTTTCTAATAGTCATTACTTAATGGGTAATTATGTAAATTTTATCCAAATTTATTAAAAAAATCATAATAAAATGCAAATTATGTTTGTTAATTTTTACACGTTATCTCATTTCAGGTGGCGTATGTGGAAGGAAGATTTCTGGGGCCATATGGACCAAGCTCATGCCTTGCAGCATATGATGAATATTGGTGAAAAGGACTCCTCTAAGCTCTTTGACTACTTGGAAGAAATGATGCACAATAGAAGGCAGTGAAATAATTCAACAGAAATATTATTACACTGAAATATTATCTATTAATGGTGGAATGTGCCGGAATTTGTTGCAGAGCGCAGGGAAACATTGATCCAAATTTGGGCTGTATATTTTCATTGCTCAGATGATAAATAAATTTAATGCTCAAAAATATTACATCACTGCTTAAAATTTCTATCCAAACTTTTACTGCCATCTTGAACATGTGTTCTCTGTTTGGGGCAATGGTACAAGTGGCAATCCAACACACACTTCACTGAAAAATAACCCATATGTTCCTATTTTAAAGCATGTATCAAATTTGCATGAAATTACATTTTTTTTTTATATTTGCAAAAAAATATTAAAAAATTTGTATTTTTTAAAAATTTATTTGATTGAGTAGCGTGGAGTTGAATTATTTTATGCAATGCAACTATGTTCCACTGGATGTCACAAGTTGTGAATGAGCTACACTGCTGATCACCAATGGTTCTGTATCAATTTTTATTATTATTTATAAATTTAAATTCAAATGGGAAATTGTGATGTTAATACATTTTTGTACAGCTCTGCATCAGTCCCCTGATGAAAAAGAAAGTTATTTTTTTTCCTGAAATTTATAAATTAACCACAACCATAGGCAATCTGATAAATTAGTCATCAAATTTTTCCCATTTAGTTAAGAAGTGGAGAAAAGTCAACTGTCAAAGTCAAATGATGTTCACTATAAAACAAAGGAATACCAGTTGTACATACTTGAGGGCGCTATTTTAATAACATCAGTCCTGTCCTAGAAACTTTATATTTTTACAAATTAGTAAATCATATATTTAAATTTATATTGCAATGATATTTTGATATTCTATTTTTACATTAAAAATGATTACAAAAATGTATCAGTATAAGAACAATATATTGCCATCAACATAGTGACTGGTTGGCTTTGCCTGGCATGGATTTTCTGTGAAAAAAGCTCAGTTGTAGACTTTTTCAGCTTCACAGTCATCACTGGTACATAGAAATGTTTCTTGGGTGGATTTCTCTGAGATTTAATAATTACGTGACGATATCTTCAATTCACAATTTTTGAATTTGTCAAAATCTTGAAATTTTACTATTCAAAAAGGCATTTCTTCTTTTGGCAGAAAGTCAGTGACTGTCATTTAATCTCAAACATTAACAATATACTGTGGAATACTTTATTTTCGCTGGAATTAATTTTCGCTGAAAAGGCTTTTGGGGCGTTTTGCTTGGAATTTATTTTCACTGATTTTTGATAAGTTTAATGTGAAATATAGCAAAAAAAGTATATTCGCTAGATTTTATTTTCACGGAATCATCTCTTCAGCGAAAATAGCGAAAATAAATTCCAAGCGAAAATAAAGTATTCTACAGTATATAATAGTATACTGGTGTCATCTTCTATTCAAATTGCAATGAACATTAATGTACAAATCTCATGTTGATTTCTAGTCTGGAGGAGAATTTCTATTGAAGTATCAAAGTATACGTCATTTGTTAAAGATGTAATGGAAGACAACATAATATTTTTATAATTTGTTTTAAGATACTGTATGTTGATGAATACACGTGATGACGTTGTTCATGCAGCACACACCAGTGTTTGATGAAATCTTCTAATACGCATATACGCAGACTGTTTTGTGGTATAGTATTTATTGCAAATACATAAAAGGTTTTTTTTTTATCACACTAATTCATTTGTAGTTTACAGTCAATCATAATTCTTCATCAACATGCAATATCAACAATATTTATAAAAAAAATGTTTTTGATCATATTGCATTTTTAAAGCTTTTAGCAAGGGAAATCATTCAACAGTAAAGTTATTTTCAAATGGTGGACATTAGCTTGTTGTTTTTGTAAGATATGGGGCCATATGATAACAATAATTTATATTGTTTACACAAAATTCCTGCATGGCCACTGCCCTTGTTAAATTAGACATGGAGTACTGGTACTATCAGATTTATTTGTGTGATATTTTATGCCCTCATACTCTAAAGTCTCTAAAGATAGATGCTTTAAATCCATTTGAATTGTACCAGTAATTGGGTCATTGTTGAACAGCAACACCTTCACCTCAAATTATCAACCGAATATTTAATTCTAGCTTTTTAACTTTTTGAAGAATTATAATATAAAGATATGGATCCCATACCACTAAAGTAGTTTAGAATTTCAGCAAGTACAAACAAGCTGCCTGTCGGCTGAGATAGCTCTGCTGTTAGCAATGCACATGGCAATTAACAGAACAGAAGATATCATTAGAAAATGAACAATATGTATAGTATCAAAACAATCAGACTTGCGGTTTTCAACTACCCCAGACCATTCGTCCCGGTGTTATCGCTATCGCCACACGAGACTATAGCTTGTCTCCTATACAATTTGACTGCGCACATCCAGAAAGTAGATGTAGCTGTGATTGGTGGAATACTAATGAGTTGAGTGTCAATCAAACGCCCACGCTATCTTTAGTAAACAAAATCACGTGACACGCGCCATTTTAGTTTTGGCAGGCGATTTCAAGGCAGCACGCTTAACCCTTTCGTTCACAGGTTGGGAGAAATTAGAATGACTGACAATTTCACGCCACTGTTTTACATTATTGGCGGATTTTTCTGCGCTATCAATCTTTCTCTTACAAACTAGACATAGATGAGACGACAGAGTCGCTCCTTTCACAACGTCGCACTGGATCAAATTGGAAAGACGATTTCCATAAGTTATCCCTCCTGCTTTTCCTGGCTTGAATAAATTCACACACGACTTTAACTGTCCACAAACTCGAAGACTACACGAACACAGTCTACAATAGTCGTCCGCAACAATATGTATGTATTTCTTCGGTGTACTGATGCACGAATGCACCGTGACACGGTGTTTCTCGGGTGTCGCCATCGCTGAGAATGCCGCCGGCGCAATTTTTCACCCAACTCGCGATTCTGTTTTGCAACATTTTATCAATATTCCCTTTGACAAAATCGCCGACAAAAGCACCGCTTTGCTGATCTTTTGTTCTATAATTCTTAATGCAAACACCGACCCTAGTAGTAATTAGTAACGTCGCCTAGTACATATGAACGGTCGTCATTGCAAATCGAACATCTTTTGAAATTTGGATGTCGGGCAGGCGATTTCAAGGCACCGCACTTAAATATTAGCAACATATTTTTCTGAGCGGTTGTTTATTCTCTTTCAAACGAGACATAAATGTGACGACATAGTCGATCCCTTATCCACCGCTAAGAATGCCGCAATATTTCGTTCGTTTTGCAACATGCCACAAATCGTCGAAAAAAACACCACTTCGACGGAAGCTTGCGTAATAAGGGGGTTAAAACAAGAAAACAAATGCCATGTTTAATACATATCGACCTGTTTTACTTGCGAAAGATAACGGAACATGAACTCGTTTCGTGCGACTTCGGAACCCGAAGGAACACACCAACAACGTTGAATTTACCCGCTATCTTCCAAATATGGTATATTAATTTATTCAGTTGTTTATTTAGAGTGACGTCCGCGGTCGAATGCGATTGGCTATCGATGTCAGTGCAAAGGTCATATGAATATTAAAATTAAGTGGGCGGAAGGAAAATTGTATAGGAGACAAGCTGGAGTCTCGTGTGGCGATAGCGATAACACCGGGACGAATGGTCTGGGGTAGTTTTCAACAAGATGTGGAAAAAATCACTTTTTACCAAAAATTACAAAAATACTCATCTAATTAGAGAATTAAAGATATCATCATGAAATGAACAAATTTGAGTTAGAACCACATGTAGTACCTATATATGTAATATCAAAGCAATTGGATTGAGGTTTTTAACAAGTCGAAAATATCACTTTTTACCAAAAATGACAAAAATATTCACCAAAATTAGAAAAGTGAAGATATCATTACAAAATGAACAAATATGAGAGAGGTCCACATATAGTACCTATATATTTAATATCAAAGCAATTGGACTTGCGGTTTTTAACAAGAAGTTGAAAATATCACTTTTTACCAAAAATGACAAAAATATTCACCAAAATTAGAGAATTAAAGATATCATCACGAAATGAACAAACCTGAGAGAGGTCCACATGTAGTACCTATATATGTAATATCAAAGCAATTGGACTTGCGGTTTTTAACAAGAAGTCGAAAATATCACTTTTTACCAAATATTACAAAAATATTCACCAAAATTAGAGAATTGAAGATATGATCATGAAATGAACCAATCTGAGAGAGGTACATATACACGAAGTATCAAAGCATTCAGGCTTGTAGTTTTCAAGACGAAGTCGAAAAAGTAAAACATTGACACGGACGACAACGCCGGATAATCACTCATACGATAAGCTCCGCTCGACAAAGTCAACATCGGAGCTAAAAAGACATTTTTACAGTTTACAGTGAAAATTGAATTTTGCAGTGAATTGTGTCATCTAGTCATTTTACAGTTTCGAAAATGTAATTTCCCTGTATTATTCTTTACGACTTTTTTTATTTGGATGTAAATTCTTGTACGTACCGAGAAAAATGACACATTTTTACAGTGTACGAAAAAAATATTTGATTGATTACGTTGTACGTTTAGCCTGTGATTACAGAATTACGGAATTTATTTTTTCAATTTACGTTGTACGAACAAAAAAGTATTGCAATTACGTTGAACGAAAATAACCCTTGCCCCCCCATTAATTGTTATGTTCTCCTAAGTTCACCATCAAGGGTGTGATTTCAGTTTGTGCCATGCTTTCAGGTAGCAATGCTTTCAGGTAGCTACTCTCTATTGGGACAGCTCATTAATACAGACATTCCAGCATGCATTGACTTGGTCAAGATTCTCGGAATATGCCAAGAACTGTAATGTAAACACCACTATTGTAGTATACACCATCCAAATAAAAACTTGCGTTTGTGCTTGCCACTAGAGGGGGGGGGGGACGTTGGATTTTAAGGAAATCAATGTTTATCAACACATGCTTGCACAACAATTGCAAACACAGTTGAGTTGAAACATATATATAAGGCAGAATTTGATACGCTGAAAAAAAACCTGTCACTCTAAGATTGGTC